GGTGACGCGCCGCTTCGCCGAGGCCGAGATGCGACGCAAGGCGACGTTGGCGCGGCTCCCGCGGAAGACGCCCGGCGCGGAGCCGCCGAACCGCCTCGACGTCGTCGTCGTGGCCGCGCGGGCGCTGACGGGCGGGGCGGGCACCTGCGACCCCGTCGTGACCAGCGTCCTGTGGCCGCGACGATTTTCGAGAGATTTCGGCCGGGAAAACGATGAACAATCGTGACCGTCATGCTTGGTAGGTCGTGACCGTGCGCTGCCGGGGCGAGACGCGGCGCACGTCGACGGTCATGAAGAACGTCGACCCGCGCTGGGACGAGGAGCTCACGCCCATCCGGCTCAAGGACCCGTCGACGGTGATCCACGTCACGGTCCACGACGAGGAGCTGTTCCTGCACGACAAGCTGCTCGGCCAGTGGATCATCACGGCCAAGTGGCTCGCGATGGACCCGCGCGCGTGCCACGCCTACGACGTCGAGCGGGCCGAACCCGGCGTGCTCGAGGGCTGGTTCCCGCTGAGCGACGCCGCGTGGGAGCGGCGCGGCGCCGTCGGCTTCGTGAAGCTGAAGCTCAAGTGGAGCTACGACGACGCGGGGCCCTTCAAAGACTGGAACCCGCTCCTCTACACGGGCGCCGCGCCGAAGAAAAAGTCCGTCTTCCCCGTGATCCCGACGACGCCGCGGCCGTCCGAGGCGCGCGACGACGACGACGAGGACCACGTCGCGTCCGCGCGGCTCACGGCCCTCGAGCAGCTCACGGCGCAGAGCGACGAGACGAACCTGAAACTCGGGTCGACGAGGAACGTCAGGGCCATGCTCGAGACCTTCCCCTTCTGGTTCGCCGTGCGCGCCGTCGCGGTGACCAGGGCAGGACAAGAGAGCGAAATTCCCAACTTCAAAGGCTCCTTTCTCGGCCGTTTTCCACTCTTTTCGGCTGATTTTTGGACGAGCGATCATCTCTCGGAACGGTCTCGAAGCGTGAATGCTTTTCCCGGAACGCGCGCGCGCGGAACACTCACGTTGAAGCGACGTTGAATCTCTCTTGTCCTGCCCAGGCGGTGACGGGCGTCGACTTCTGGCTCAAGGACCTCTTCGCGGGCACGACGGGCACGGGCGAGCGGGGCTCCCAGAGGGACGCGCGGGGCGTCTTCGTGCCCCGCATCTACGCGTCGGACCGCGCGGCGCTGCGGCCGCCCCCGGGCGACGCGGGTCTCACGCTCTGGCGCGTCGCCTACAACTTCGTCGTCAAGGCCGCGGCGCCCGAGGTCGTGAACATGACCTCCGTGCGCCACCAGGCCATCGGCCAGATCCTCGCGGGCTTCTTCGCGCGGACCGGCGCGACGGCGCCGAAGCGCGGCGGCTCCGTGGCGACGCTCCACGAGGCGCGGAGCGTCGAGGCGCCGCCCGACGCGCGGCAGCGCGGCAAGATCGGCCGCCAGCTGCGCATGAAGTTCAATCCCAAGGACAAGTCCAAGCTCGTGACGCGCGACACGCGCGACGTCAACCGCGAGGCGGCGCTCGCCGGCGCGCTGCGGAAGACGACGCGGGCGCCGGGCGCGGCCTTCGGCCGCCACTGGAAGACGTACCGCATGGAGTTGAAAGGTGGCACGCTCTTCTACCACGAGGTCGCGGGCGACGCGCGCGTCGGCCAGGAGCTGAAGATCTCGCTCGCGGGGCTCGCGGACGGCGGCGACGCCGTGGAAA